ACATTTAAAATGTAGCGGTTAGTATTACTCTTATTCAGAATGTTGCGTATTTCATCCTACCTGGAGTTAGTGACATTTCCCCTGAGGGGGAAATGGCACCCTGAAGACAACAGCTCCAAAGACAGAGAAGAGACAGGGTCTAAGGACAGGTCCAAAGACAGGGTCCCAGGACAGGGTTCAGACACAGGTAAGGAGTCTGGCCACCACTGCAGGGCTGGGTGAGGCAAGTCTCCAGTTGCCAGGCTTACGCATAAAAGTTATCACCAGCCAACATCCAAATGGAAAAGCTCCTTCTGCGGCTCTCTTTGGATTTAAGATGAAAAATAAATAAATTCAATAAAAATATTCTTGATCATGCCCACTTCAAACTCTAAACTGCAAAAGGCGGCCACTGGACCGTCAGAATCCTCCCGCTCCTAGGAAGAGGAGCATCACACCAGAAGCAGAGGAGAAAAATCTCCCTCCTCAGACTGCTGCACAGACTTGAGTGTGTAGAGCTTCATGCAGGCTGTGGGAAGTGCAGGCTGTGCCCTCAAGGGTATAGTCATGACAAGAGATGGGCACGGTGAACTAAGAAGACTAGCAGAATGGCTTCTGTGTTTCTGGGTCCAGAGAAGAAATAAGTAAGAGTGCTAAAAATAAACCAGAGAAGATGGTGGGAGAAGTCTTAAAAATATATCAAAAAAGCAAACAACTCAATCAAAAAAAAATGGCCAAAGAACTAAATAGGGAATTCTCCAAAGAACACAGATAATAATAAACATTTTTAAAAAGTGTTCAACACCCTCAGTCATCAGGCAAATGCAAATCAAAACTATTTTGAGAGTTTATCTCATGCCCATCAGAATGGTTATCATCAAGAAAACAAATGTGAAGAAATGCTGGCAAGAATGGGGACAGAGGAACTCTTGCTGTCTGTAGGAGTGTCAACCAGGGTAGCCGGTACGGAAATCAGTGTGGAAGATTCTCAGAAAGCTACCCAGTGACCCGGCTATCCCACTACTCAGCATACACCCAAGAGACTCCGAAGACTCAATACCTACTCAGTCATGTACATTGCTGCTCTCGTCACAATAGCGAGGAAATGGGATTGGCATGGGATTGGCCTGGAAGGCCCTCAGCTGATGAATGGATATGAAAATGTGGTGTACATACACGACGGAACTTTATTCAGCTATGAGAAATATGAAACCTTCAGGAGAAGGGATGGAGCTGGAGTAGCAGTCTAAGCAATGTAACTCAGACCCAGAGAGACAAGTAACACATAGCGTTTCTAATACATGATGCAGATCCCAGCTTGGAATCTTCAGATTTGTGTGTTTAAACCTGGAGTGTGTGGAGAGGCCATGATGGTAGGAAGGAGCTGAAGAGGGGGAAGAAGCCTTAAGGGAAGAGAAACAGCATGAGCTGCCTAGTACAAAGTAGGGGGTAGAAAGGTTTAAGGGAAATGAAATGGGCAAATAGCAGAAAAGACGGGGTAAGGGAGCTAACCAACACTAAGACTTGTGAGCTATTATTTATGGATAATTTACATTGGTACAAGTTCAAATTATATTTGTTACTTTTGTTTACATTATTTGTACATATATACAAAGTTATTTTGTCAGATTGTATATATGCATGTTTCTACCTCGGTTTGGGACATTTTGTACATTGATACAACTTTTAGGGTATATTTTCATATTATTATAGGTCAATAGTTGTTCATGTTTGTTGTACATACAGTCAGATCAATTAGGTTCTTTAGATACATAGAAATTGTATTCTGTCTAGATAGGTATTCTTCAACCACTTCAAGGATCTGTGGAACACGGCATTTAGATAACTTAGGGTTCTGTTGACATGAGACATGATTGCTTCTGACAGCACCAACCTATTTCCAAGAGAATGTTGAGCACCAAAGACATTCCACTTGGACCTTGTTTTCTTCTTGGCAAAACTGGCCTTTGGGCAAGGAACTGACAATGCCTCAACCACTGACAAGTTATATAGTATCTGGAAATGGATAAGCAGGACTGTCAAATCTTGCCAAGACAGGGTAAAATGGTTTTGAAAATTTTCCTGCCTCTGAAAATGGTCTGTCAGTTATACTAGGTCTTAGACAAAGTTGGTTGATTCAACGTTGCAAAATGAGACTTTGGGTGATTGCTCAGGTAACTAGTTAATTGTCTCCGTCATATATTGCTCGCTTTGGAAGCTACTTGATTGTACTTCCTGCCTGCTCAAGAAAATTATCTTCCTTCTCAGGCCTTCGATAGGGTTGAAGATTAGATAGTCGTAGTTACTGTACTCTTATGATCTAGCCAAGCCATTTCCTATACAAGACTCAGACTCCATAGGATAAAATGTTTATTAAAATATTTAGCATATGTTCCTCGCTTAATATTGTTTATGCTGATTGTAATTCTAATCTTATACTTGATATCTGTTACCAGTGTATATTGTTCTGCATTGAGTTTGGAACTCTCTTACTTAAACAAAAGAGGGAGGTGCTGCCAGAGTTCCTTCCGCTCCTTCAGCCAATAGCCTTTAAGATACCAGCCCACTGGGGCATGGTCTCTTATACTTTAAAAAGTAGTGGGGAGGGGCGTTCGCTCTCTCTCTCTTGCTTCCAGCTCCAGTTCTGTCAGCCACACTCTGTTTCTTGTTTTGCGAACAGAGGATTATTGTTTGGGACGGTGATCTGTAAGTTTTTTCCCTCAAATAAATAACCCTTTTTATTATCCCTAATTCTTAACTGGTGTGGGATTGTTTTGTGGCTTCAACTAAGGATATTTGAAAGCAATATACAAGCCTACTATTTTGTAAATGAACTAAAATGTAAGCTACACATACACACACACACACACACACACACACACACACACACCCCACAGAGACATCAAGCTGGGTCTGAGCTGGGATCTCCCTCCCGGATGGCTAGGCTTCATGGTGTCTAAAGGTGTTGGGAAGTCTGCTGGAAAGAAGTCAACGGTCTTACCCGGCAGTAAACCTACAAACTATAATACCAACCTGTCAGGCAAGATATGCCTACTATCTCAATAGTGCCAGGAACGTTTCTGCTTCCCGATTGGATTTGAGACTGACTCCATAGGAAGGAAGTCATTCCTGGTACTATAAACCTGGAGCCCTCAGGGGTACCTACTACTGTTGCTTTGCTAAATGAGCATGGTGTCAAACTGCCCTCTCAACATTTACGCTTATTCCCATGAGTTAGTGGTTCATGTAACCTCAGTTCAAGCAGTCTCTATAGATGATTCAGGGATTCATAACTTGTCAAAATGATGAGGCAAGTGATTGTTGAATGTTCAATAGAAGCAGCTACATAACCCCTCCAAGGCCCAGGAAACATCACAAAAGAGAGGACTATAAGAATATAGAGCCAGAAGATGGCAAGAAGCAATGGGAAACTGTTTCCTGGACATAACAAGCTGTGGTACCCATGTCTTACTCAAATAATACCCCCTCCCACCCACGCTCATGCAAGCAACCCATAACCTATATAAATCCCATAGGAGACAGACAGACAGACAGACAGACAGACAGACACACACACACACAGTGTACGAAAACAGGAAGACAACTTGTCGGAGGGGGAAGGGACCTTGGCAGAGTGGAAGACAGATAAGAGGATTGTAGAGGGTAGATATGATCACAATATTTCACCTATGTATGAGATTGTGAGAGAAATACAACTTTTTGAAATTCCCACAAAAACGGGAATTTTTTTAAAAGTCTAGACGGGAGCTAACGTCCAAGTTCAATACCAATTATGTCCAAAATGCCAGGTGCTCTCACCACAGGTACACTAAAACCTAACACACCTTGCCGTCTTCTGAGGCAGACTCTCTTCAGATGGTGTAGAGATTTGAGCATGGATCCATAGTCTCGGGCATCTGAACACTTGGTCCTCCATTGCTTTGGGAAGTTTAGCTGATACAGCCTTACTGACGGAAAGATGCTAACTGGGGGCAGGCTTCGAGACTAGAAAGCCTGCTACCACCTCCAGTTTGCTCTCTGCTCCATGCTTATTTTGAAGATGTAAGCTCCCAGCTTCCTGCTCTGGCCACCGTACCTGCTTCTTGCTACCCCACTTCTCCATCACTATGGACTCTAACCCTTTGGAACCAACAATAAACTCTTTCTTCCTAAAGTTCTCGTTCCTTGTGGTAGGGTTTTTCTTTTTAGTTATTTATTTTTAATTATTGCATGTGTTTTGCTTGCACCTATCCCTGTCTGTCTGGTATCCAAGGATGCCAGAAGAGGGTTTCTGATCCCTTGGAACTGAAGTCTGATGGCTGTGAGCTTCCACGTGGGTGCTGGGTCCCGGGTCCTCTAGAAGAACATCCAGTGCCTGAACCACAGAGCCATCTCTCCAGCCCCGATGCTTACAGTGTTCTGCCACAGTAACAGAACAGTAACTAATGCAGATAGCATCTAGGGATCTGCATTGTTAACTGGCTCCCAGAATAGTTCTTAAAATATACCAACAACGTCTGAAAAAATCACAGGCCTGAACTCCTATCAGACAGATGGGGGAAGCAGAGAACACCGGGTTCAAAACTGGAGAAGGAAAGTCTCAAGACAAGAAGGGGGGGTCCTCAAGAGGGAGAAGGGAACCGGCCAAGGACAGCAAACACGGCCTGAGCTGGGAGCAGCTGGGCAAGGGTTCTCCAGGACTAACTGGAGTGGGGCTGCCCCTAGGGACATGATTTCAGCACAGTCTAACAAGCCGCCAAGTAAGCAGGACCTGCTGCCAGCGGGAGGGTGAGTGAATGAGTGACAAGCCCTTGAGTACCCTCCCAGGGGGGAGGGGCATCCCCGAAAGACTGCCAGGAGCCCATCTTGCCTTTCTAAATGAATCACAGCTCAGATGAGATTTATTTCACTGCTCTGGAAAAATAAAGAGGTGCGGCGAATCTTGTTTCTGGAGACAGCGGAAGGCCTCGTTTCTTGTCACAGTTTTCGACAAATGACAGTGAGCACAGAATAGTACTCACCTCAGCCTGATGATATTTGTGCTGCACGGCAGTGGCAGCTGAGCTAAGAGGCAGGCTGGAAAGGCAAGGTCATGCAAGCAACAGATCTTCAGATCTTCCGTGTTACTACAGAAGTGGGTGGGGGCAGCAGGGGGAGAAGAAGCTGGAGCCTCACACCAGGCCACACAGACAGGTGTGCCTTTCACTTATGAAGCCAGGCAATGACAAGCCAGCCCTGCATGCAAGATGGCTGCATCGCACCGTGTTAGGCAACCCTGCAGCAGATTCTGACCACGCTACGGAGGTCTGTGGGGAAAGAAAAAAAAAAAGAGAGATTCAGAGATAGAATCATACCTCCTCAAGAGAGATACAAAAGTACAGGCCAGTGGTAGGACCAGCCATCCAGAGGCAGTTACAAAGAGCCAAGCAAGAAATGTGGAGAATTGAAGACAGTAGCCAGGAGGATGGGGAAAGGAGTCATAGAAAAATAAGAATAAAAATCTAGCAGTTAAAAATGCAAGGCTTAGTGACATGAAGAACAGATTGTGGGAGAGTGGGGGCGGGGGCAGAAGAGCTGCAGCTTCGTGGTTTAAGCAACTTAGCTTTACATCAGGTAAAAGCAACACAAGCGCTTATATAAGTTACGGATCAATTTGCCATCTGCCTCCAACTTGAAACACTCAAAATCTGTTTGTAAGCCAACTCAGAATCTTCCAGATTCAGGAAGACGGTATTTTAAATACTTTTATGAAACAGCACAATTATGAAACACACCCATGTGCCGGCTTCAGATACATCCTTCAACTTCTCTTTTCAGCAACGCAGCTCAGAAATAGAAATTAGTCCAGATTTGAAAACCTGGCAAGAAGGGGAAAGCTATAGAGAAATTACTCCAAAAACCCAAAGCACAGCCATTTGCAGAGAAAAGTACTAACCAATGCTTTAACACCCGGAATGATTGAGTGGAAAGAACACGCCATAGAGTGTCCAATATGAAGTATATGTTAAAGGCTTCTCTGCTCAAGAATGTGATTTACCTAAGTTATAGGACTCAGGTTATCTGAGGGAAAAAAAATCTATCTTAATTAGCTATAGCAAATATTTCCCAAACTGTTCTTTTTTGGCTTCGTATAAGATGGTTTTCTACTTATTAAACATGGGTGTGCCTGGTATTTTGGACATTCCCTTTGAGAAAAAGCAGAAAGCTTTGCTCTAAGGATGTGAGTCAGGGGAGCTGGGAAGCCGCCCAGCGTCTGGCCCCATGCTTCAATGACTGGGAATGTAGAGCACCGTCTGACAGGGCTGCCTCGGGTACATCCTCAGAGCTCTGCGGGCCTGCTAACAGGCTTTCATCCCTCTACCAGTCCACACTCTAAGATGGCATGTAACCAAACAGCTAGCTGAAACTCAGGGCTGAAACACAGGGGTAGAGGTGGCTTCACCTCCTTCCCTGGTCCCTTGCAGCACCTTTAAGCCCAACCCCTCAAACACGCTGACCTCTACCTAACACTGCCTTTGCAGACATTCCAGAATTCCGTTACAGTTCCCCAAAATTCCAAAGTAATACCGACTGTGCTTTAGAGGAAATAATTAATATAACAGAAGTGGAGCCCTGGGTATAACCTAGTAAAGAGTCGTTCATAGATAATACGGTCCCTCTCCTAAAAACAAGTATGCAGGCTGAGCCAGCCAAGTTTTGAGCGCTGTATACTACTGATTCTGTTGAGCTTTATGAGAACTCCCATACAGGATGCTGGAGAGATGGCTCAGTGGCTAACAGTCTGGGTTATTCTTCTAGAGGACCCAGGTTCAATTCCCAACACCCGTGTGGCAGCTCACAACCATCTACAGTTCCAGTTCCAAGGGATCCGACACCCTTGTCTGTCCTCCCCAGGCATCAGGCACACAAGCAGTGCACATAAATACATGGCAGGTAAAACACTCATAAAAGAACTCCACGAACTAGGAAAATACTATAACCAATATACTCCTTTTACAATATGGGCACTAAGGCACAGAATGGCCAGGAGAAATATCCAAAATCATACAGTTAATTAGCAGGGGGAGCTGGGACTTGGACCTTGGCAGGCTGGTCTGAAGACGACTTCCTCACCTCTGACTATGACAAGGTACTGCAGGCAGCCCTGTGCTGTGTATGGAGTTTGCTTCCCCTATCCACCGCCCTTGGTATTCCTCACCCAACTATTATTCATATGCTGACATGTTAACCTCCTGAGTCCTCAGGGGCCATTCCATACCACAGTTCTCATTCCCTACTTCATCTCTGCTCTCCAGTCCTGGAGGTATCTGTAGTTCTGTTCCCCAAACCCCACAAGTCTCTCCTTCCTAGGCATGGCTCAGAGACTGTATCTATGCCTGGAATGACATTCAGAGCTAGGTTTTAACACTTGGGTAGTTTTCAGTACGAATAGTGTCTTTAGAAATCCTGAAGCCTCCCTCTGAACTGGACAGTGAGTAGAAACACTACAATTTCTAACCAGAGCTACATGTCCAGCCCCAAAGCTGGCTGTATGAATGGTGAGTGGGTCTCTTCCTGGCTCCGCAGGTCTCATCAGTACCACACTGTGCATAAAGATCTCTTCTACTTGGAGATTACAATAGTGTTTTCCAACTTAGCAACACTGCAAAAACCATTCTATCAAATTTTGACTTTTTTAAAATCTTTTTCCCCAAGAATGGAGATATGTAATGTAGGCTTCACTTAATGCTGGGCACTGGCAGCAACCACCACTCTTGGTCTGCTCTGGGACAGGAAGCAACTGAGGTCCTGCAGTGTGCTGGACCGCTAAGCTGAGGTTCAACTAGTTATGCATTCCATGTATTATCAACTTGCAGCAGGTTTGCATGTGGACTTTGCAAAAAGTGTCTTAAAACACAACTAAAGTTGGAACCACACCCCCCCCCAAAAAAAAGGTGATAAAAGATGTAAAAGACTAAGGCTGAAATTTTAAGATCAAACAGCAAAGGCTCCCCATTCCACAAACTGAAACGGGGTTTTTATGAACATTTCCTGAAACCGTCTCTGCCCAGACAGATACTCAGTCGAGCATTTGCTCAGGACTGTCTTTCCATAGATGAGGAATCTCAGAGTTCACCAGGAACCAGGAATCCGTGGCCTTGGCTCAGAAACCACATTCTTTCCTGGCGAATAAGACCAAAGAAAGCCTATCATCTCAGCAAGTCAAACCACGAGATGTCAGCCTGTTTTTCTTTTTTCACCAGGAAATGGACTGCCAGGGAGGGAATTCCTCTACCCGCTAGAGCAGATCTGACATGCTGCAGCCAACATCACTTCCTAATGCCTGCTGTGCTCAACTTCAGCCCCTCAGCCCTGAGCTCCACCACACTCTCCCCTATCACTCTTTGGTGAACACAGAATAAAAAGGCTGTCACGTGCTGGAGGAAGAATGGAGAAAGTCAGCTGGGCCCTCTAGCCTGGAAAAGAGGTTAGAAGGTTACATAGCTGCAGCTATCAGAACAGTAAGTATGGGCTAGGAATAGGAAACCAGTCTGAAATCTCAGCACTCGGGAGACTAAAGACAGGAAGATTATAAATTCAAGGCCAACCTGAGCTGCATGGACAGACTAAAGCTCCGCCTTTAAATTTTTAAATCTTCATACATTACAATGCGCATTGAAGACAGTCCAACGGGAGAGCGCAGAAGACAGTTTCTTCTGTTAGAGAAACTTCTTAGCAGCCACGAGGTCCTCAGAATGGGTCACTTCAGCATCGTGAACCCCTAGGGCTGTCTCCGCAAGAGTCAAGGCAGACAGACACAGTCAAGGAACGGACCACACTGTCTGTGAGATAGGAGTAGGGAGAGGGAGGGTCCGAGAGTGGCTTAGGCAGACAGGAAAGGAAGCGGGAGGAGAACATCAACAAGAATAAACCACAATGAAGACGGCAGATCGGCTGGCCAGAGATGTGGCCATCTAAAGACTCTATTCTTTCCCAGCAGATAGATGAGTGCGTTGGTTTGACTTGAACTTAGCAAAAGTTGCTTAAGTTTAGGGTCATGTACTCCCAGTCACCCCAAACTTAAGCAACTTTTGCTAAGTTCAAGTCAAACCAACACACTCATCTATCTGCTGGGAAAGAATAGCAATGAATCGTGGGGTTCTCGAACCGACTTGGGTCATTCATGACAGTACACAACACAATGTCTTCAAGTGACATCACCACTACCCAGCCACTGCATATTCTCTGAAGTTTACCCAGTCTCATCCATCCACTAAAACCGGCACTATTGTTCAAGCAGAGTTTCTCTACCAAGGCACCACTGACACTGCGGGCTGGACCACCCCGTGTGGGGTCATATCCTGTCACCATGGGGCATCAACAACATCCCTGCTCTTTCTCTTCAAGGTGCAAACACAACTCCTGTCTTTGAGTTATGAGAACTAAAACTGTCTCCAGACCTTGTCAAATGTCTTCCCCCATTGAGAACCTCTGCTAGAAAAAAAAAAAAAACACCCTGAATGAAGATTTAGCTCCCACGGTTCGCAGCCATAGGCTGCACTCTGGACCCAGATCACCGTCTTGTACAGGTCCTAACGAGGGTGGAAAGCAGGGAAATCTGCCACTCTTCATGGAAAAACAACCACTGTGTCCATGATCTATCAATGATGAACTAACTGCACCACCCAGAGTGACACAGGTCACAAAAGAACAAAGTGTATGACACCGAGTGTCCAGCTGCACCATCGGAAGAGTGACTGTGTCTCAAACTGATACCTGAAAACCCGGGTTTCTGGAGATCCTTAAGACAGAGATAATTTTCAAAACAGGGTCTTTGCACAAGAACCGGGGTATTTTCAGTCCACGCAGACCAGGTCACCGATTTTAGAAGACAGACGCCCACAGCATACAGGCCCGAGACACCAGTGGCAGCCTGGAAGCTTGTGCGCATGCGTCCTCCCAGACTCCGCCACGGCCTGACTTAACAGCAGCACGTTTTAGCTGGAAATGATCGGTGGCAGTTCATAAACAGCTCTGAATACAAACCCGTCTCAGAGGAGGCATTAACAAATCCACACTTCTCGAGTTCCCACATGAGCAATTTTCTCATCGCTCCGACAAGAGAAATGTTTGTAAAGAAAAGCAGCAAACAGTTCTGAGATCTTTGGGCAATATTTTCCAAACAAGCGCACCACCGTACATCAAACAGCATCATGACAGGACAAATCTCTGCCAATGTCTACACCCGCTCCATGGTGCTCAGGCGCTCAGCCTGACCACCCTCTCCCATTTTTATATTTTATTTGTTTATTTGTATTTTTGCAGT